TGTTGTTTAATCTGATAAAAAGTAAAATAAACCAAGGAAAAAAAATATAAAGAACTGACGGGATAGCCAGATCTTGAGGGACGGTGGTGAGGGTGCGGATCTCCACGGGGAGATTGTTCCATAGCGTCGGAGCTGCAACTGAGAAGGCTCTCCTCCGTGTAGTCGCCAGTCGGCACTGACTGGCGGATGGAATTCGGAGGAGGCCTACCCTGTGCGATCTGATGGGTTAAACCGTTTGCAGTTCTCTTTTCCCAAAAGTTTCTCAAGCATGGATTTGCCGATGGGGGTAGCAGGGAAAGCTGACCAATAAATGACCAGCACTGTCCGTTGGCCACCAAACTACCAGTGAAAAGTTTTCAGTAAATAAATATATTTGAAGAACAATTTAGAAACATTTCCCTGACCGTTTAAAGGGCGATCATTTTAAGCAGGCAGCCTGCTAGCTAGCTCTTTGGCCAACATTGGACTTCCAAGCTAAAACAGTTCCACTTAAACTCTTAATTCATTTGAAAACAGATTCTCAGCTAATGTAAGGCCACGCAGCTTTTATTTATTGCAGAGGGTGGGAAACTATGGCCCTTTTACGATCTCTGAAGTTTAACTCCCAGAATTCCTTTAATTCCCAGTGTTAAAGTTTACAGGTCATTAAAGCATAGCGGGCTCAGGGATTCTGGGAGTTGAAGTCCACAGGTCCTTAAAGGGGCCATAGTTCCCCGCTCTGGTTTATGGCCTGCTTTGTTCAGCTTGTTTGCCTTCTAACCCCTTCAGATTTACAACGAAGACATCTTAGATCTCTTGGCAGCGGGCAAGGAAAGAAGTTCTCAGATAAGCATTCGAGAAGACCCCAAGGGAGGCATTAAGGTAGGATACTTTCTTCATACTTTACTAAATCTAAGGGAGAAACATTGAGTATCTAGAAATCAGATGAAATTTCCTGGCAATTAATCAGTGGAATGACGTCGTAGATGCTCCGACATTGGAGGTTTTTAAGAAGAGATTGGACAACTCTTTGTCTAGGATGGCATAAAGTCTCCTGCCTTGAGCAGGAGGTTGGACTAGAAGACCTCTGAGGTCCCTTCCAGCCCAATGGTTCTATTTCTAAATGATTGCAAGTGCGGAATCACACCCTTGTGTCTCTCGAGGGCCGGAGCCCTGCAAATCTAATAAAAGAGGATAAAAATCACATTCTACGACGTCACAGGCGTGGGCCGAAATTCAGACTGGCGTTTTGGGATGCCAGCCTCGGGAATACGAGGATTTTTTTTCCCCACCTCCTCTTGCTTCCACACAGATTGTAGGTCTGACTGAGCACATGGTCTCAAGTGCCCGCGAGACCGTCCTCTGCCTGGAACAAGGCAACAACTCCCGAACGGTGGCAGCCACAGCGATGAATACGCAGTCCTCCCGCTCCCATGCCATCTTCACCGTGTGTGTGGAGCAGAAAAGCAAGGCTGACGAGTAAGAAAATAGCCAATCTTTTTTATGGGGCCTTGCAGCCTTTTTGATAAGTTTGCTCTAGTAGAAACCAGGAGACGGCGATGAATTCTAGGTCCTGCCTTAGGCATGAAAGCCGGTGGGGTGACTTTGGGTCAATCACCAGGGGACTGTGAGTTATAGTTCTACCTGAGACATGAAAGCGGTGTAAATGACTGGGTCAATCACTAGGAGATAGTGAGTTATAGCTCTACCTGAGGCATGAAAGCGGTGTAGGTGGCTTTGTGTCAATCCCCAGGAGACTTGAGTTATAGTTCTACCTGAGACATGAAAGCGGTGTAAATGACTGGGTCAATCACTAGGAGATAGTGAGTTATAGCTCTACCTGAGGCATGAAAGCGGTGTGGGTGGCTTTGTGTCAATCCCCAGGAGACTTGAGTTATAGTTCTACTTTAGGCATGAAAGCCGGCCGGGTGACTTTGGGCCAGTCCCTCTCTCTATTCTACTCAACTCAACTCACAGGGTTGTTGTGAGAAAAACAGGAAGAGAAAAGATTATGTACCTTTGCCACCTTGAATTGTTTATAAAAAATGATAAA